GGGGACCTGTGCCCCCTGCCATACTCAGGGCACCCCATCAGCCAGGGAAGGAGAGGGATGGAGGGGAGCATGACATGGAGAGGGAGGAGAGCGTGGCACGGCCAGGAATGGGATGAGAGGCAGCAGGATTTGGGGGAGTGAAAGCCAGAGGTGTGACATGGCAGGAGTGGGATAGGGAGGGAATGGGATGTGGAGGAGCATGGCATGGCAGCCCTCCCCACTTGCCACCATATCATGGGGACACAGCAAAGTCTCAGCTCCTGACCCACCAGGGCAGCTCTGCCCACTGCCCTGGGCACCATGTGAGGAGATGCTCTGGTCCCTGAGGCTGAAGGCACTCTGGCTGTCGCCCCAGCTTTAGCCTTGGGGGTCCTGCTCTTTCCGTGCCCCCATTTTAGCAGCAGGGACAGGAGGGTGGGAGCAACATGAAGGGGGCTCTCCTTTGGGAATTATTTGGATGCTTCCCACCTCAGGTTCCTCTCCCCACGTGGCAGCCCAGCCTCACCTGCCGTGGACACGTTCACCGTGTTGCTGGGGTCGCTGATGTAGCTGCCAGCAAAGGCCACCAGTCGGAACTCATAGAAGGCGTCCTGAGGAGGACACAGAGCCGTGAACCACGCTGCCACAGCCACCACCCAGCCCTAAAACCCAGCCACACCTCACCTTGATGAGCCCTGGCACCAGCACCTGGGTGTCAGTGCCGGGGATGGAGCGCTCCAGCACCTCCCAGCCGCCCTTGTCCTGCCGCAGCTCCAGCGCGTACCCGCTCAGCGCCACCGAGGCACGGGCAGGGGGGTCCCAGCGCAGCAGGACCCCCCTCACGGTCTCGTTGGCAGTCAGAGCCCGGGGTGGCGACAGGAAGACGTGCACGGTCATGGCCGGTGGCTCCGGAGGCACTGTGGTCACTGGGAAGCCTTGGGGAGCGAGCAGAGGTTGGCACCAGGTGGGCACGGGGGGCACCGGGGGTGTTTTTTTTTTGGGGGAGCTGTCCTTACCCCTGGGCACGGAGGTGACGATCTGGCTGAAGGGGCCACTGCCCAGCTTGTTCTGGGCCAGGACGCTGAACTGGTAACTGGTGTCTGGCTGCAGGTTCTCCACCAGAAGGTGCTGAGCCCCAGCTGGCACCGACAGTGACACCCAGTCGTGGTGTGCCCGCGGTGGGTACCTCACCCTGGGGACAGGAGGGACCCGTGAGAGGGAGCTGGGGTCCCTAGGGGGGCACACAGCAGGGTGGGCACTCACAGAGGGGTGTACCAGACGCTGAACCTCTGGAAGAAGCCTCCATCAAAGCCTGGCTCCCAGGAGATGTTGGCTGCCAGCAGCAGTGGGAGCACGGAGACGTTGGTGACAGCGTGGGGACTGGTACCTGGCGGGCAGCAGGGTCACACTGGGGGGCCTGGACCACCCTTGCCAGCACCCCAGGACCACCCCAGTGACAGGCAGCTCACCCAGTACGTGGACAGAGGTGGCAGTGGTGACACTGGCCACCTGGTTGGTGGCCGTGCATTCCCAGACTCCGTGCTGCTCCTTGATGAGGGGATGCAGGACGAGGCTGCTGTTGCCATCCACCTGGGCACTGCTCTTGCCCACGCTGCCCACCTGTGGGGCATGGACATGCTGATGGGGGGCCACCACCAGGGCACGGATTGGGGCTGTGACACTGCCACGCTGGGGACAAGGGGACATGAAAAGGGGGACATGGCCCACCACCCTGG